ATTCTGTTTTGTTTCTCGACATGCTTAGATAAATGTATTTAGTTTCATTGTATTAATCTTTGCGTTCGATGCACAACTTCTGAACGCTAAACAACTGATTTGCAAAGTTTTTCAATCGCGACGGGATGATTTACGGTAAGCTGACTTTGGGGTCACCGTATTGTTCGCGGCTACTATAAATCAATCGTAGCAAGTTTTCTCAACTGGCAAGAGAAGAAAAATTTGAAAGTTTCAGGGAAACGAACCCCGGATTCGATAATATCTCCATTGTTTTACGTTCGCATAAATTCTACGTACAAAAGTTTCAATTGTTATTTCGCGCCTCATTACGAACCGCCGCTCAAGTTTTCAAATTGCAATTAATTTTTCGATTTGTTAAATTCTGAAGAATCTATTAATAGAATTATTTTCAGCAAACTTTAAGCTTTAAATTAATATATTGCATGCGCAATTTTGGGATAGCTTTATTTCATCAAATCGTCTCTAATTTTCCATATTTCATGAGTTAACTTCTACGCATTCACAGAAATAGAAAAGAAGGCTGCTTTTTTAAATACACGTTAATTTAAATATCGTCACCATTCTCCCTTTTTTTCTCTTCCTAATGCATTATTCAAAGAAATGAACATTGTTTTTCGACTGAAACGATCCGCCAACCGATTCCTTTTTCATTGAAGCACCAGTTTCGAACGTACATATGTGGGACGATCGAGATTTAAGACCGGTTGCAAAGATTTAAGATCTAGTCGCGTTACGGTGTAAATATAATTTATTTTTCTCAAAAAATTGTGGAAGTAGGATTCGACAGCCGATAAAGAAGGAAATTGAATTCTGACTGTAATTAAGAAAACCGCAATCTATTATTCTAAATACTTTAGAAATTATGATAATTTCTATGTAAAGAAACTTCTATCGATCATATGGGGTAACAATTCAGAGAAGTTTGGAAATAATAGATCCTTTAGAACCCTTACTCCTCCTTTCAAAAATGAATTTAGAACGCAGGAAGTTGAAACAAAGTTGGAGAAGTTTCAACGAGCTCTTAAAACGATCCAACTCTGAAAACGTCGGAAGAGAAAAATTATTACAAACTAATCGATAAAATTGTTGAAATGTTTCTATTCAATCCGATAACCATACTTATCGATACAAGGCCTATGATGCCTGGATCCTACGAGTTTAAGGGTCAATCCGATAGCGCCCCTAAATATTGACTCTGCCTTTTATCAGTATGCACAATCTTTAAGTACCATGATGATCGTAATTCTTACGTAGATATACGAAGGAAAAGACGGAAAGTCGTAAAAAGTGGGATCACGAAAAATGAGGTCATCAACGCAAACAGCCACCCTTTTATAGGATCCTATACAAAATTGGTATTTTCTTATTAACACGTGTGAGAGTTCTAAAATTGATTCTTTTCTTCTTCGAAATTAACCTTCAAACAGCGGACCTTAAATCAATTGTGATCCAGAACTTGCGAAATACACAATAGAATTTCAACTGAAATTAAAAGATTATTGTCTAAAGTGAGTCTTGTGGGGTTAATAACCCGCTCTGCCGTTAGCTTATACCGGCGGTGGTAAAGGGCGCAATTGCACTAAAATAATATCCACTTCCCAGCAACCACCACCCTCCAAGTGGCGCCGGGAGTGGGTAAATTGTCCACTCATGGAGCTTGCCAATCATTGCGTTCGGATCCGGAAGACCCAACACTTGACTCTTTATCGACGTAAGGAATGTTAATATTGGAACAAAAGCTAACCTTAGTGGGTTAGCGACTACACCCACCAGGCGCTTTATTCCCGTAACTGACATTAATAGTAAAAAATATTGGAAACAGATATCTAAAATGAAAGTTTAAAATTTAGAAAATAAGAGTAAAATATAAAGGTCCGCCGTTCAAGGGTTAAACTAATCATTCAACGGAGGGTAAATTATTGTTACGAATAATCCATTGATCCAAAGTATGGTAATACTTTTAAGAGTTAAGAAATTACTATCGCAATAAATATTGAAAAATATAATTTTACATATTTTACACCCTCTACCCCGAGGCAAAACTCTGGATCCACCGCTGATAATTCATCCGCTCGTTTTTTTTTTACGAATTGCTCGGAGCTAGCTATGCTAATTATTCTTTCTCCCTGATACAGACAAATTTAGCGATTCTCTCGATGCGACAGCGAAGATTAACGAGACCTGAAAATGCGTTCGGTATACGTGTTTCAGTCGAGATCGATTGTCGTACTGCGACACTAGTGTAGGAGTTGGCACAACTCGAGGGTTGGCGTCCCTGAGATCAAACCTAGGACCACAGAGACCTTCCTGAGACTCTCAACATTCAAGAGTAATGTTCGATTAAATCTGGCTGCAATCGCGAATATTACCACGCTTTCCTTAATGGTTTATAATTATAATTTAAGGCTGCTCCAATCGAAGCATTAATATCTTATAATTTCTTTCGTTTTATTTTTCAACTACTTCAAAATTCTATCAATTTATCTATATTCTTATTGGCAATTTTAATTAAAATTATACTAATTTTGAAAAAAAAAGACTGAATGCAGAATAAAAAAAATAAATAACTATTCCTAAGTAGAATTTAATTTTGTTTAACAATTCTTTTCTTATTTATTAGTGCAACGAAACAATGGCAGAAATATTGAATAAAAATTACAGCAAAGAAGATATAAAAAAAACTGGAAGATTAACGATAGTTCATACCGGTTCGTATCATTCCCAGAGATTCCGTTTCGCGAAACGGAACTATGTCACAATAAATAATGTCTACGTATTATGAGGGCATCGATAAAACCTGGAATCTTCATGATAAAAAAGCAAGAACGAACGGGGTTAATATTTCATCGAATACGTTAACTGCGAGCAAAACAAGTGAAAAAACTGTGCAATCCTTCACTGGAGATAAACAAAGCGTATCGATCGTCCGAATATACTTTTAACTACGAAGCTTTTCTAATTTATTCTTAAGTTTCTAAAATTATTAAAAATTCTGAATTATTTTATTCTACAGTATCAATCATTGTAATATTATATATTTTAAAACAAAGCTTTTCTAATCTATATTAAGATCTTAAATTAATTTCTATATTTGCTGTCTCATTGTCTATCAATATTATTATTATAAATTACTTTTGAACATAAAGAATTACAAGGCTAGCTGTTAAGGGATAATTTTGAAAAGTCGCATAAAATCGACTACAGATGGCACCAACAACGAAAGTTTCCATTTTCATGGTGTTTAGTTCATTTTAAAACGAATGAACTCCTCGACTTTGTCTCCAAATTGGCTTCAGTCTGTTTATAAATCTTTCCGTTTGCAATTCTATGCTACGCCTCGACTTTCGAATCTTTGCCACGACCCGTTGAGAAAACAAAAAATGGAAACAAGCAAAATGCGATGAAACTTGTTTCGCGCGTCCAATGTATACAATGGAGTCTGGAGCTAACTCGTTACCCGAACAAAAACGAAAACATAACCTATCCGCTTAATTACTCGAAGAAATTAACGAAATACCGTGGATAAATGCGCAAGGCTATTTGTAAAATATCATCAAATAAAATGTCCTATTAACCATGATTACTTCCTTAGATTATTTCCAGTAGCGCATGAATCGTTTCATATTTCTCCTTGGATTCAAGAAAACCTAATTATTTTTCATCGCCATTTCATAACTAGAAGAATTTAAAATATTTTATAATTTTCAATAATATTAATTTTATACTTATAAACAGAGGAAACATTCAACAATCGTACGTTTAAAAAAATATTACAATCATAATTACTTATGATAATTATAATTATAATAATTTAAAAAATCTACTCTAATAATTTCCATAGCATACTTTGGTTTTGACAAAGTGCAATGATGTAATTTAAAAATGTGATTATTCATTTAACTAATGATATTATGATAAAATTAAATAAAGAATTTAATATCATTTTCTTTCCATTGTATATTATCTACCATAAAAGCTGTTGCTTGTTCTTAACTTTTCTCCTCTAGAAGGAGTAACGTGAATAAGCGAGAGAAGAAACGGTAGCAAGTATATGTTGCATTCAGAACGCACCTTGAATACCACACGAAGTACCTTACGATTATATGGTGTAATTACGCACAATTTCGAACTCTTATGTTACTGAAAGCGCCACCGGTGTTACTGCACACAGACACACCAATTGTTCGGCTGTTCTTACAAATATACACTCAACGATATTCATTTCAATGGTACGTATATTAGAAACGACACATGTATAAAATCAATAGAAACCGAACCCTTATTATTAAATGCACTAATTATTTTAAAAAGGGGGTCGCTTTTCGTAACAGCGCTTAACTTGGGCTCCATTTTACGACGTGCAGTTATAAAGCATTTTGATCTTTTGTTACTCTGTCGGTAAATTATATAAAATTACAGTGCATTTAATGTCCTTTTGAAGTGGAAAATTGATCTACTCCATTTCACGTATTTAATAAATTGAAGGGTAGTAAGAGAAAACAGAAGTAAAACGACGTTGTACGATAATATTGTTTAGTTAAACCGTCGTTTTCACTCGTACGTGTTCTCTTATGGCAAATTTGCGAGATCACGTGACGCGTTGTTATCGCGGGAAACGGTACAGTTTCTTTCCCCACGCGAGAATCAAAAACTTAACCTATCTCGCATTTATCTTTCTCCTTCTTTATTGCATCATTTTACCGCGTCTCTCCAAGTTCTACTTGCATACACGTGTGAAAACCTTGCCTAACGTTCGTTCCCTTTCTTTCAATCTAGCTCGTTAGCTGCATTCAAGCGAATCGCATTTTCTATACGAAATGAAACATCTTCGCGCGAAACAGGAAAGAAAGGGGGAGCCATACGCGCTTTTTCGAAGAAAGCATTCACTTGTTTGGCGATAGATTAAAATCGACAGAAAAATAAAGACATAGATTTTTCGAGATATGTATGTATGTACAAGGTAGAGATTTGGTACTTACCATGCAGAAGAACTTCACGTCGGCGTTACGCCCGCGCACGAAAACAATCTCGAGACGTACTCCAAAAAATCCGAAAGAGTATGCGTGGTCCTGGCGTGTCAAGAGGTCCTTCTAGAACACAGCTTCGTCGTTTTCCGTCGGTCTGGTCACCTTCGCGGATACGGACGGATAACCGGCGAATAGAAAAACCTCACACGCGTGGTCCTGCGATGGAAAATACAAAAGGAACGATACGCGACGAATCGAACTGAAGCGCGATACACACACGAGCAACCGCACGGCGCGCGGGTTCAGCGGCCGACTGAAAGGATGCCGTCGCCTTTGGTCCGCCATGCTCCGCTCACGGACCCCTGTGGCCCCTCGTGGTCCAACCAACCCCCCACCACCGCGCGACAGAGACAAAGCAGTTGCGCGCGCACCAACACATTTTTTGAACCTCCGCCATTCGCCCCGCTCTCCGCGTCCCACTCTACTACCCTTAGGCTCGATTCACCATGCGCCGTCTCCATCCTCCCTTTAATCGCACACATGCATATCACCTAGCAATGGGATCGATTAAATGGAAATATCTAACTTATGAATCATTTTATATACATTTCCTTTAAGAAATTGAAAATATGTAGTAGAGAATATACTATGTTATCATACAGCAATTTGGAACTTTAAACAGTATACATAATAATATGTCTTCACAGTAATGTTCTATACAATTATTTTAATAAACAAAAATTGTTAATTTGAATTTCTAAAATGATTTATATGTAATAATAAAATTCATATAATCTTAAATGTTTCCTAAAATATTTGTTACTTTTAGTAGTATGAGGGTATTGCTCCCATCGCTAATAAGGCGACGTACACATTGCTACCAAGGAGTCCTTAGTCGACAATCTTACCTGCGCTACCGCTCACCCCTCTTTCTCTTACTTGCAGACTCGTCTAGGCCCTGTTTACACCCTGCGAGAAAGAGAGACTGTTACCGGTCTGGTAGCTTATATCGATGTAGGAAAAAGTACCGGCCGATCCTATTGCACTGGTGGAATCGAGCTAACCACGCTGCAATTCGACGGACCAGCACTAGTGATAGCAAGAACGCGCACACGATGACGATCTTCTAATATCTTCTGATGCCGCATTACATACTTGCATAATGTAAAATTAAAAATATGTTTGTATTGTTTGCAAATTACTTCATGTGATATAAATCAAATTCAAACTGTAATAAAATAGTAATAGAAACGAACATTTTCCAGAACTTGTAATTTCATTACTGGAGTTATAAATAAATTTTGGTATCTAGTTCGAAAGAAGTATCGCCGACGTGTATTTTCCTTCATTTAAATAAAATAGATAGGTAATTATTAATTCCTTTAGCGTGTTGTTACAACCTATTTCTACTACAAAGCAGTAATTATTATACCTCATTTCCTAATAGTGATGCGCCGGATATCGTACTTGATTACGAAGAGTATCATCATAGGGTCTGGAAATGGGAGCTTTGATACACGCTAAACACTCGTAAATTGCCTATACAATGTATTGACGTAACTGTTTTGCATTTAATTCAATAAAAGTATAGAAACATACATGTACAATATTTTATATTAAAACAAATATTAAAATGATATAATGAACCTATACTTTATCACTATAGTGTCCATGCCATTTGAAAAAAAACAACTACAATGATTATAATTGATGATTGATTTTATATCTTATTAAAAATAAAGAAAGATTGAAATTACTAATTTAACTATTATTGTTTTTACTATTTATATTGTATTAATTGTTCATTACATCAAATCACATGAGTTAACTATGTTGTTCTATTAAAATTGTTTAAATGAAGAATATACTACTTATAAAGAAGAAGACTAATGTGTTATAATATTTTAAACATATTTGAACTATTTATAAAACATCCGTTTGTATATGGAAATGTATCACTTGCGACATCTACCATATTTTGTACCAGTGTCTGATCTGCACAGTTATTGTAATTTAAAGAAGCTTGCGTTATAATACGTATTCTATTAAAAGAAAACGTAGTAAATGTTTGAATGTACATACATACGGTTACAAGCTTTCGTCAAAGAATAGATTCAATTTCTTCCTTGTAAAAAAGAAAGAAAAATTATTAATACATAAAGTGAATTACTAGCATTTGTTAAAATCAATTAACCTTCGCATCCAGAGGTGCGTACTGTAAAACGTCTGATATATTTAAATGTAAGGATGTCATCTTTATATCAGCTTTTATTTAATATTGTCTAAGTTTAGGAAATCCAAGAATTGAATTAATGATATGATGACTTTACTAATTACTGCTTTTCATCGTTGTTTAGAAATCGTGTATAAGAAAGATCAATTATGTAATATTATTCTTTCTTGGAGAAATTTGAAAGGAATAAAAGATCAAAAGTTATGATTGCGTGATGATTGTGTTAAAATATACTATACTATGAAGATTATATTTATTTTCATCACTTTGGTAAGAACATTTTTCATGTATACTTGTGATTTTAAATCCTTAATTTTGATATTTTAACTGAAGAAAACAATATTATTTTAACAGATATCTTATGTATTAGCTCATAAAGACAAGTTTTCTCATTATATAATTGATGAAGTTCCAGGAGGTTCATATAAGTATTATAGTTTAACATATGATGGTTTTATCAGAATAACATTAATATCAGAGTAAGCAGACCATTCAAATGAATTCAATGATTAATTGACATATATTATTAAAGAGCTAAATTTATGTAAATTATGATGCTACACATGAAATTTTATATCGTACTTTACAGAACTGGTGACGCAGATTTATATGCTTCCCAAATAACAACAAAACCAACTTATGAGCCAGATCAATATTGTCTTCAATCTGCAACATGTGGAGAAGATACCATTCTTATTCCTGATAGGTACAACAAATAAGATCTAATACGAAATGTGCATAATTTATCTAATATATTTATATTTTCAGTTTTAGAAGACCAGTTAGTATAGGTGTTTATGGACATCCATCACATGAAATTAGTAAATATATTCTCCTAGTTTATGAGACAACAGATATAGAAGACATATCATATGAAAGAAACTCTAAAAGAAACACTAATGAGGTGCATATTAAAATACAAATTTTCTTATAAATATGGTTTTGTTTTTATGTATTATATATAATTATGTTTCAATGTTTTAGGAACAACAATCATCAATTTCAACATCCAATACATGGTATTTCTTAGATTTGCTTTTTCAACTCTTGTTTTGATGTGTGTTGTAATCTAGTGCATAAATTTAATTAAATCATGTTGGAATATGAGAATCAAATGTTTTTGGAAATAATCCACGAAGATGGATTAGTTGTTGTGGCAAAGTAAATATTATTTAATTATACAATGTATAATTTAATTTTCTATAAAATCATTACATGTTTATGTCATTGTTATTTATTTCAGAGGACTTGGTTTAGAAACAGTATTTGCGAATGTATTAAGAGCCTACTTAGACCCAGGAAACTTGATTATAGTTTTGGGAACTACGAACCATGACGAACAATATTTTATTGATACTCTAAAAGGATTAGGAAATAAACAATTGCCCCGTGTTGTAACATTTGAATGTTCTTCTGATGAAAGGTTAGAATCAAACTTGTTTTTCTGATTCATTATTATGAAACGTTTTAATTTTTGTCCATTATTTATTATGTAATTATAGGGAGGTAATGTATTTAGAGGGTGGAGTGTTATTTATGTCAGGCCGAATTCTTGTAGTAGATCTATTAAAAAATAGAGTTCCATTGAAATTAGTTACTGGAATTCTTGTATATAGAGCACATAATATACTGAATTCGTATCAAGAAGCATTCGCCCTTCGTTTATACAGACAAAGTAATAAGGTACATACTGAAGAAAAAATTAACTGAATTAAAAACGATAAACTACAATGTAAAATATTTGTATTAATCATTTTATGAATTATTCTAGACCGGTTTTATCAAAGCATTCACGAATTCGGCATTAGCGTTTACCGTTGGATTTGCACAAGTAGAACGAATAATGAAAGCTTTATTTGTCAAAAAGTTATATTTATGGCCACGTTTCCATACACTTGTAAATAGTAGTTTGGGGAAACATAAGGTAATGGTTATTACTGGTATTATAATATATCGTATGCTTTGTTTTAAACACTAAAACGAAAACGTTTACTATTCAGCCTGATGTTATTGAGTTACATGTAAAAATCACATCAAAGATGTTGAATATTCAAACTTCCTTACTTGATATAATGAATTATGTTATAAAAGAACTGAAAAGACTTAACAAATATGTAAGTACACTCTTTTATTAACCCATTCAATGATTTCTAACGCTCAAATTTATTTGCTTCGTTTTATTTTTACAGTTAGATTTAGATGAATTAACCGTTGAAAATGCAATATCTAAAAAATTTCACAAACAGTTACAGCTACAATTAGATCCTATGTGGCATCAACTAAGTGCTACTTCAAAACAATTACTGTCGGATTTAAAAACCTTACGTGGCCTTCTTGCGTAAGTATTCGCAAAAATTAAATGATGGAAGAATCGAGCTGTTTTTAATAAAAACAATTATATATGTAGATGCCTAACATACGAGGATTGCGTATCGTTTTATGCAATGTTAAGTTGTTTACGTACTATGGAATATGCGGTAAAAAATAGTGGCTGGTTAATGTTAGATTCTGTAGACACTTTGTTCCAAAGTGCAAAGGAAAGAGTTTATAACGAAAAAGATGGTAAGTTGAGTGTTTGCAAAGATACGTATCAGAAAGACGGTTTTTAATTATTTGTATTTCATGACATACATATTATTTATATTCAGAACTAAAACCTGAAGTAACTCCAAAATGGACTGCTTTAACGGAGGTATTGCTTGAAATTCAGGATCAAAGTAAAACGAAAGCTGATAAAGAAAATGAGAAAACATTGATTTTGGTACACAATCGTAATCTATGTTATCAGTTAAAAAATTATTTAACTATGGGTGCTAAGGAATATTTACTTTATGAGGCAATGAAGAAACTTTCTCGTAAGGAACTGCAAAAACCACCGTACGTATATAATGCAAAATAAATATCTCGCTCTATTCTTGAAATTAATATATGTAATATAATTGAATCCATTTTATACACTTATAGCACAGAGAAGAACACAAAAGAAGAATCTACATCTGCAGAGAAAACTGATGATAATGAAAATGACGAAAAAGATACTTATATGCTAACATTATCTCAAAAAGTTCCTGAAGAAAGTCAGTCTGATTTAGCAACAGAAGATGAAAAACATCAAACACTATTTGAAGAATGTTCACAAGTAAAATATACATAAAAAGATGACTTACTGTATTATACAGGATGTTCGGTTACAGATGGGCATCTTTTGGAGGGATGGTAGCTGGGGTGATTCTAAATAATTTTTTTCAGTGCCACCATGCTCGTTAAGGCTGAGTTTTTAAATTATTAATGAGAAACACTGATAAATCAAAGAGCGCGAGATCAGCCACGAAGTATCAGTAAGATCCGGGTTCGACCGTGGTAGCGAACAAACAAATGCGCGCCGGTGTTTTTCGTTAAATAATTCAAAAACTAAGTCTTAACGAGCGGTTATTTTGGTAAAGGATAAAGATTTTCAGAATCACCACAGCTATCATCCCATCAAAGGGTGCCCACCCTTAGCCGAGCACCTTGTTTGGTATGTACAATGTTATAAAAATTCAATATAAATGTTTAATGTTCTTTGTGTAGATTGCAGACATAGATCTAACAAACCTAACTACAAATGCTCCTATTATTTTAATACAGTCTTTGAAAAAAGACGGAGATCCTATGGCATTACAACGCGCTTTAGCGGAACACATGCCAAGTAATATTGTTATGTACGTAGCAGATATTTCCGCTGTACGGCAAATTGAAGTACGTACTAAATGAAAATAAATTTGTTGGCTCGTGAGTGAAATGGGATTACAGATATGTAAAGAAATAAATTTCTTTTTATAGGTTTATCAAAATAATAATCCATCAATAGATTTGAAAATATATTTCTTAATATATGGGGGTTCCGTGGAAGAGCAGGATTATTTAACATCCCTGCGACGAGAAAAAGAAGCATTTCACACATTAATTAATACTAAAACAGTATGTTATTATGTTACAAATTATTTTTCATTTTCGTACGTATTCGAATATGCTTCGTTTTGTTTTTAGAAAATGGTTATACCTGACGACCAAGACGGAAAGTCTGAAGACTGTTTAAGTCTAGCAATACAAACAGACACAGATGCTGAAACAAACACTCGTAAAGGTGGAATACCAATACAACCGGAAGTTCCAAATACGATCATTGTTGACATGAGAGAATTCAGAAGTGAATTACCTGCTATACTTTACACAAGAGGCATGAAAATTGAACCCATAACATTACAAGTACAGCTGAGAAATTTGTATTTGTTAAAAATTTTAAATGTTTTAAAATAATAAGAGCTGTTTAAGTATATTTTCCTATTTACATAGGTGGGAGATTACATTTTATCACCAGATATTTGTGTTGAAAGAAAAAGTGTTTCCGATCTTATTGGCTCTTTAAACAATGGAAGATTGTACAATCAAGCTATTGCCATGACAAGACATTATAGTAAAGCAATGCTTCTAATAGAATTTGATCCAAACAAACCATTTTGTTTTCAGGTACATATTTGTACACATAATACAAAATAAAGTAACTTAAATTCGTCAATAACAATAAATCTTCCAATTACAGGGATATTACTATGCTAGTAAAGATATACAAAATATGTTTATCACTTCGAAACTACAACTTTTAACTCTACATTTTCCTCGATTAAAACTTGTGTGGTCGCCCGGCCCTCACGCAACGGCGCAGTTATTTGAAGAATTGAAGGTAATGAATAATTTTTTTTAAAATTATAATTAATGACATTCTGGTATACAAACTTGTATACAAAATGTATTTTGTTTCATCAAAATTTATAGCAAGGAAGAGAACAACCAGATGCAGCTAAAGCAGCTCAGATTGGAATGGAAGAAACTAAGCAGATAGCGGTAGAAAAATTTAATCCTCGAATACAAGATTTTGTTTCCAAATTACCAGGAATTACTACCAAAAATTTACAATCTGTTTTGAGTAAAGGACAATCATTAGATCATCTTAATAAACTTACAAAAGTATGTAATGTACTATAAATCTTTTAAGCGACCGATAGTATTTCGTATTATTCGGCATTATTTCGAAGCATAAATTTAATAACGAATATTGGTATTTTTTTATAGGAAGAACTTACGGAAATGATTGAAAATAAAAATGAAGCGCAAATGTTATATAACGCATTTCATGACAAATCTTCTCCAATTGAAGAAAAATCAAATACGGCTAATAAAAAAACTGCTTTCAGAGGACGAGGAAAGAGATTATTTACTAAAATTAAGCAGTGATGTAGATATAGATTATTGTTTTAAAAAATACTAGTTGTTTGTAGTTTGTGTTGTTCTTGTATAAAATTTAAGATTAACTATTACTATTATGTGATATCAAAAAATCGTGTATTTATAAATTTTTATAAAAAATGAAGTATTTATATGTATTACAATTCAGTGAAGTTCCGATATTAAAATTCGGAACAAACAATTCGTACATTTAATTTAAATGAGTCTTTAATGATTTTCCTTACCTGTATACTATATTATTCTTGCACATCAATCACTTGTATTAAACATAATATGGCTTTGTTCAATATATCTTGCAGCAGTAACAAACAATTTTCTGAAGGTAATATATCTTGCATACATGTTTCAAACATTCTGCAATTACCAAATGCGGAATAATTATTAAAAATTGCCACTTTTAAAAATGTTCTACTTTGATTATAAATTAAATATATACTTTGTAATATTTAAACTTCCGCATTCACGTGAAATTAAAGATCTCTTTTCAGCCTTTTCAACAACTTTCTGTGCTATTTTATGTGCATTTTCTAATATTTTATGTATTATTCTATGAGTATCCATTGAAATGTGTTTTAAACAAAACTAAATACATCATATAAACAATATATTATTTACATAAGAAGTATTTAAAATTCCATTGTGACGGTAATTTTGAACTTACTTCATTATGTTCATGATAAAAGATATAAGCTATAATGATTTCAGAAATGTCTGAAATGAATATTCTTTTTTCTAGTTCAGTCATATTATCAGGTTGAAAATTTCTTAATAACTGATAGAGCTTAACAGTTGTATTACGTTTTGCAATAGAAACTGAACTAAGTTTTTTATAAACACGCATATCCATTCCTATAAAAAATATACATATGTACTCTCGGAATCAAATTAAGCTTCCCTCAGAAAAATAGCGTTACATGGAAAGCAGAAAGACCTATGTCGCAGGCCAGGAATCCCGGAACCCGAAAATCCCGGGAATCCTCGCATCGTTATTTTCCCTGGGGAAGTCCATCATGCTCGGTACTCTATGTACATACATTAGCAGTGTATATTGTATACACTGGTAAGATTCTGTTTTTAAATACCTGGCATATAGTCTGTTGAAAGACAATAAAGACCATTTAAATATCGTTCAACCATTAAGAGGGATGCTGTGTCACGGACATCTATTACATCTACAATATTATCAAGCCACGGTGTGATACAATAAAAGTCAAACATATTGTCACTAATAATTCTTGTAGCTTCTCCTTCGATACTTGATGGTGGTTGATGTTTCTAAAATATGAAAAAACATTTAAATTTAAACAAACATATTTGTGAATCTTATTACTAACAAGAAAAACTTGTGATTCTGCTTCCATTTTAGGTTCTTCTTCAAGACAATACTCTCCACATTGTAAGATCAGTATTTGTTTAATAGGATGTTCATAATAAGTTGAAATACTTTCTAATATTTTTAAAGTTCTAGCACCATCTATCAGTTGCCTTTATATCAATTAATTTTCATTTTTCTCAAAAATTGATTATTCTTAATTAAATAGAAACATCCAAAACCAATTCTACTTAACTCACCCAAAGGCAACATAGTAATGATTCATCCAAGGATTGGGCTTTAAGCATACAATAAATTGAAATTGATTACAATGTTTCCCATCATTTGCCATTGAAAGAACTCCACGACGATCATGAGGAATACAATAAGACTCATCAGGTATCACAGGTACATTACCTGCCCTATCTTCACTGATTTCAGATAGTTCAGCATCTATGAAACATTTATATTGAAGTTAATAATGATTAAACCATACAAACGAAACAAAAATTAAATATACTTGATTTTACCTCCACATTGAATCCATCCATTTTTAACGATACGATGTACACGTGTATTTATATAATAAGCATCTCTATAACAATGTTTTACTTCATCATACCCATTACAAAGGTTTAAAAAATGTTGGCAAGTTAATGGTAATAAATCAGAATACAACTGGATGGGGAAAAAAATTTAGCAGAAAGATTATTATACAAAATTATAACACTATATGAAATTTACACAAAACTCTTACCATAAATACGAACGAGCCGGCTATACGATTGTTTATAGTAAAGGTAAAATAAACATATATTCTCTAAAATTAAACAACGTTAAATAAATGTATACTTTATCTTGTTATTATATTACCCAATTTCACCTTAGATTTTTCCATAAATTGCTTACAACGCTCTATGGCAATATTTTCGTAATATTCTATTCCAAAAGGTAAACTAAAAATATAATCTTCGCTTATATAATGAAAAAATTCCATATCACTACCAATAAATTCATTGTTTATAAAAACTGCTACTGGCCGTTTTAATGACCACATTTTTCCACCAATTTGCTATAAATGCAATGCAAAATTTATAATCAATATATATCATAATATACTTCGACAAGTATAAAAGCAACAAGTAATTACTCTTTTCATTTTTTCAATATATTCATGCCAGTCTATTTGAAACATTTCTATAATTTGCGGCAATGTAAATTTAAATGACATATGCTGATACAATTTTTCTGCACATATTCGTGCTTTTTGAAAAGCACTAGTATTTATAATACCTACTATTTTAATCTTAATATAGTCATTTTCAAACAAACTTGAACAACAGTCTGTTTTGAATAATGCACTTTTAACTTTATTTTGCATCATTGTGAACTTTAATTTTCTTATTCTTAAACATTATTGAAAAAAGACTTGAATATTGCTGATATAAAAATATGTTAAAATAATTCATTCTATACCAAAATAGAATTGTAATAAAAACTATATTCACACTTCCGATGAACGCTACTTTATGTACATGGTGTAATATTTCTACTAGATCTTTTTTATATGATATACAAAATTTATGTTTATGGTACTAAGGTATTATAAAATTGCAAATATTAATTGTAAATTAAATGTTTATCGATATCATCTTCAAATTTACTTTAAAAATAAATAACTAAAGTACAATATTTTTACATGTTCATTATTACTTCGACATTTCACACATTGATTTTGTAAGATTTTCGACATCACTTTCCCCATCACTGCTATCGCTAGTATCCAAATGATATAAAAAGGAATCATTTTCACACATTGGAAAATAAAACCTAAAAATTTGTATTACTAATGTGTTAATCAGTTTAATAAATTATGATTTTATATCATATAAAATACTAACTCTGGTTGATCCCAACTTTTCTGTGTAGGTATTTTAAAGTGACTTTGTTCTTTCATATGTTCTAAAACATCATTCACCTTTACTTCGCAGAAAATACATTGTTGTAAATAAATTTGTCTTCTCACATAATTTACCACCTTTACCTGTTTCAAAGTTATATAACTAAGCAACTTTACTACTTTATTGTTTTAAGTACAAAATATGAAAGTCTTACTTTTTGATAAAATGTTAAGTCCTTTGATGCAACTTTAAAATCAAAGTCATGGTTTGTTTTCATATGTTCAAGAATAAGATGGAAGTGTTTATCATTGTATTTGCAAAATAAGCATGATATACTAACACCTTCATCATCATCCCAATCAGACCATGTATCTTCATCTTCATTTTCACTGCTTTGATCTTCTGCTCTCTTTCCTTTAAAATAAATCTAACCATATTAAAATTAAAATATTCCGAAACATTATTTAAAATTATTATGAATACTTTGAAATAAGAAAATACCTGTTTATGTCTCCAAGATTTACCAGGTTCCAAGTAGTTGTTTATGTAAAATTTGTCATACTCTTTATTATTAGGATTTATACGTTTATGCAACTTTTTACGCATATGTTCCTTTAACACTGTACGATCTTTAAACAGTTTTTCACAATATATACACACTAAACTAAAAAAGAAACTTGAATTAATACATGTTTCATTACATTATGTTTATAGGACCTTACTTTTCTATAGTACTTTGAATCTTATCTAAAAATTCATCTATAAACACTAAGTTATCTGGTTTTCCCAAATATAAATTATGCTTCTGTGCTAAATGTTTTACATAATTGATACGTAATCCTGAAAATTCCATTCGACACAAAATACAACCACGTTTGAAGTCTGTATCAGTTCTCTCTTTTGCTTGCATTGTTAGTACCCATTCCTTGAAATATTAAAGAATATATCTTATATTATATTCTGAGGGATATTCTGTATTCTAAATTTATATAAGTTATTAATACCAATTTGGCTCTATGTATTTCATCTCTTAATGTTTTATCTTCAAAGATACAATCAGAAAGTAAAAAATATCTTTCATTTTCACATGGTTGACCATCAGATGTACAGTTCATTAATACTGTTGTACAGAAGTTTGTTACTGGCTCTTCTTTAAACTTAACACTCCAATAATGTATGTAACTAAAATCAATTCAGATTAAAGAATTATATGACCAGTTATAAAATATAAAATTTTATATAAGGGATTCAAACCTTTTCAAACTTGCAATTTTCCAAACATCTCCTATTACAAGTCGATGTTCTTCAAATAAATGAATCAAAAGCTCTTCCTCATTTTGAGGAAGGACAAACTTTAAATTACATAGAAGACATTTTGTAGCATAAGGTTTATCGTCAAGTCCAACAAACTGAGATTTGTATACAGTAGAAACTTGATTACAAACATTGTCTGATAACGAATTTTTCTGGCTTTCTGTAACATTATACAATAACTTGTAAATTTATAATTGAAATTTGAAGTCATGAAACACACCTTCAGAGTTCATAGTTACTAAAATTTTGAGATATCCAAATCAATTTATAAAAACTATATTTATATACTCCCAAAACTTCTCTGATAAAAGGTTACACCGGACTCCAAATTCCGCGTCGGTAAAACAGTCAACGTTTCATCGAAAATTAGGCCGAACAGAAATTGATTTCAGCGCCACCTCAGTTATTGTATCCAACTAACGGCATGCTGTACTACGTCACCGACGAGATACTGTTAAGGGGGTAGACACGGGTAATAGTAGCGCGTTGACTTTACCGGCAAAAATGGGCCTAAACATGGGTTTACGGGACTACACTTTTCGTCCTTATATGAGAACATTTGGAGCTGGGTGAGGGCTTATTCGAAAGAGGAAGGTCCAATGCACACCGCTGCACTCATATTTTAGTGGGATTATGTTGATGTTTAATAATATAAGCGTCCAAAGTGGAGGAAAAAATCGACAAAATGTAGTCGCGGAATCGAAGCATTGTTAGGCCACTAAAAGAGTACTGTGATTGAAATCATGAGTGCAGCGGTCTAGCCACAACCCTTATCTGCAAATTAAGATCTATTTTGTCTTCATATGTTGCAAAATAAGGACGAAAAGTGTAGTCCCGTAAAAGCATTCCCACAGACCCACTGCCATCCCCTGTGTTAAAGTGCGGCACGCCAAGTGGGCCCAGTGGGCCTGGGGTATGATCGGTAAATAGGTGTGATGGATAATGTAGAATAGTGATATTACCCATTGTACCGCCGAAAAAAACTGTTATACCACCAACGAGATGATTTAGGTTTGTCACAGTACAATAATTATCTCGTCGGTGCTGCTTGGAAAACAATTATATTTTATCGTATAATTGTATTACATTCTTATTGTAATACAATAATACAATTATTGTAATAATCGATACTATATAAATATATCAAGAATAAGAATATTTGATATGTAACGTTCTGAAAAAATACAATAATTAAATAAAAAATAATTCGAAAATTACTGTTATATTTATAAAATAATGATTCTTAAACCAAAAATATTATTTAACTATTAACAGAGACTCATTTTTACTTTTTTCACAGGTAGCGGATGTAAGCATTTTTAACAGAGAATGACATACTAAGCGCATAGTGTATTCCCTTATTCTACCATGTGGTGAACAGAGTCGAACGTCCCAAACGTTTGAAAGCTCGCGTTCTTGCATATCCCGCGCTGACGCTGGCGCACTCAAGGGGGGGCCAAGGGGCTCTAGCATCCCCCAAAGAAAAAGGAAAGAAAACAGTAGAAAAATTTTCTAAAATCTGTTCCTAATTAAATTAGTGTTACTGTTTATGTAACATGTTAATAACATGTTAATAACACTGTTTTTTGTACTAAAAATATTTTTATTCGTTCAACTTAGCTCCCTCCAAGAAGAAATTCTGAGTGCGTCGCTGCCCGCGCATACCCCATTATGACCCCATCAATGACTGTCCTTTCTTTTTCAAGGTTTTGTGGCAAGACTTTGTAACAGAAAACAGACCTCGAATATTTCGAAGGGTCGCAGACTGTGTCAAGTAGTGGACTTTATTGTGGTAATTTTAGATATTTATTTTTTAGTAGAATAAAAATCTAACATTGAAAATACCGCGACTTAGCTACTTTTACAATTTTTACTATCAATCGCACCGTGTGTTGGTCGACTCGCAATCAAACATGGAATAATGGCTCTCGCTCATTACCAATCATTCGTACCTCGCTTTTTCTCTCTCTCACAAACATCTTCTTTCTCTCTCACAGGCGTCCTGCCAATCATACCTTGTTTTTCTCATTCCCACCCCCAATGTATGTCCGCCAACCGGCACATTATAACCATTACTATTAAATGCAAAATTTTATTGAAATACATTTCTTTTCTTTTCGACACCTGTTACTCATTATATTATTATTATTATTATGACTATATCCTACAGAACCTATGTAATATTTTTTTATTAATTTTTATTTCTAAATGATTTCTAAATGAAATTAGAAGAAAATCATCTTTTTTCTAATTTTTTTTTTCTATTCATCATTTTTTCGAAATGAATATTCGTTTACCTTAAACTTAGAACTACAGTTCGTAATTTATTAAAAAAATAATTTCCAATGAACTAAAGAGAGTTATTAAGTTACCTTTTTTCAAATATTTTACGTCTTAAAAAGTATCTCCGAAAGGTTTGTAAAACGAATTTAACTCGAATCACCGAAGAGATAATAATAGCATCGACCAGATAATATATCATCTCATATCTCATGATACAGTGCAGCACCGACACTCTTCGTTGGTAAACTCATTGATTCAGGTTCTGTTTCTTACTATGGCCGCAATATATTCTAGAGGACGTAAGAAAATGTCGAATTTTTCTGAAGCCGCAACCTCCTATAAGGATGGCAGTCTTTAACAGTATCTCGTCGGTGTATCTGGTCTATTCTACATATAGTTCATAATTAAAATACGTAAAGTCGGTAGAGTAAACGTCTTTATTAATACAGTTATCCGTATACTTTAGAGATGTTACCAAAGCAACGTCCAAAGTTAACCCAGGTTAACGATAGAGTGCACTCTCGTCGTTTTCACGAGAGATCCGCAAAACAGTGAAAGCAGGCATACGGCCAAATGCTGTTCCAGTAAACAATATGGCCGGTTTAGTTCAGTGCGCGGGTTATGTCGTCTCTATCATTTTTGCCGAGTGTTTGTTGTGCTACATTGGGGATTAGCGATTTTTGGTAAGTGTATATTTAGTAAAACACATAAGATTCTATATAGAAAAATTGAATAAGTACAATTCAACGCTAAGGACTTTGTACACGATGATTGACGATTACAAGTATATGCCTTTCCGTCAATTACCGTCTGACTGTGTTTGAAGATATTGGTGAAATCTTTACAAAGATGTTATTTCGCTTCCGGTAGATCTACTTACCTGTTTACGTTTCATATACGTTTTCGTACGTAACACAGGCTTTCATTACTCAATATAGTGTCATTTTTTAAAGATTTTCAACGAGAACGTTCCTGACGGTTGAGATTTTAAATTGTGCAATATAATTAAATGTTCATTTTTCTTCTACCGTCGTACGTAAATCGTATCGAAATATATCGGTCTGTAGCTGATCAATCGCCGAAATTCGATTGGCATTATTCTTGTAAGTTTAACGACGAACTTCGTGACAACGTAAGCGAAGCAACAGGTTTTTTGCTGAGAAACCTGCGATGACCTACCGTTCGAGTACTCGCTAGTGCATTTAACATCTCGTATGTAATTGTTGTATGCGTTTCACGTTAGCTTATTCACTCAAATCGGGAAAACTAGGCATCTTGACGGATTAAATATTTAATTATCGTTTAGGAACAGATTCTGAGCGAACAGTTAAAGCAACACTTTGAACGGTCAATGCTCTTTTCTGCATTTTCATAGCGTTAAAACGAAAGACTGATAGAGAATTTAATTTTGACGCGCAATAAATTCAAAGATGCCGGTGTTCTAAAGTTACATACGAAGTGTTGAGTTTCTTTAAATTAATTATCTTAATCAGCTGTTGAAATAGGGTATCGTTTTATCATAAGAATTTGTTATATCTAAAACTACATATTAACATTTGCCGCTGAGTTAATGTGAAAAGAATGCCGGTGTTATCGATAAGAGGATGTGAGAGTCAGATGTATAGACGTAGGAACAGATTCAAACAAACACTAATGTTCGGAGAAGCTGTTTAAAATGAAATCATTGCATTAATATCGTGTCATAATTTTTCTTTGTCGTTTGCGTAGTGTATCATGAGATAAATTACAAAATCAAGATACAGGAATCCATTTAAAGTATACTGTATCATAGGTGCAGTCACACTGACTCTTTGAGGTGCATGCCGAAATATATACGCAAGCTGCGCGCATGCGCACAAGGTGTCCTCGTAAAAGGAGCCAAAATTTAAATTGCTCGTTCAGTACATCCTGATTTTCGAACAAATGCAAAATTATTCGCAACTTTTCGAAATCAGCGAACTTCTTGTAACTGCTTGAAGCCATTATACAATCGTTGCGAAAGGGAGAAAGGTGATCGAACTGTACAGAAAACGCAGCACGCATAACCTAAGCACAATCCGTGTTCGTACGCGTGTTTTACCTTTAGTCGATAGAATATGTATCAGGATCCGGCAATTTACGCGTAACGCATCGAAATGATTCTCGAGTAGGTTTTACATAATGGCAAGCGTGAATCACACTTTCCTTGTGTCTGAGCTTCATTTCTTGTCACCCGAGATTTTTCCTCTTCATGTCTTAGAATCTTTTACCTCGAATTTGAAAATTATCGTAATCTTAACGCTCTTAATAAAATTGAAAAGACGAGAAAATAGAAGGTACCGTGGATCGGTGAAAGAAAGATAGAGAGTGGGAATTTTTTAAGGGAAAGTCGATGCGTTTGTTGGCCGAGAGTGAGGCCACGTTCTCGTTGTCGTTCATTCAGGAATTACGTAAGTTAACGTCGCATCTGCTCGTTGTGCTTGTCTACCAGTTAATGCTCGGGCAAACGCTAAAGATTCCCATTGATTGGTGCCTGAAAAGGTAGCACTGTGAAGCGTTCATCATAACCGTGGCCAGTCAAATAAATGTCGTATCAAGCAAATCGATGAATCGCGAATGATTTAAGCAAACACGTTTAAATCTTTACCTAACCACTTCAATAAATTATTCTGAATGTATCTGCAATAAACGTTTTATATTCTCGTTTTTAAAAGCAATTGCTAGATAGAAGAAAAGAAACTGTATACGTTCTCGTTCGTCGATCTCAACAACGAATCAATTGAATCGCAAGCGACATGTTCGATCGTCGCAACATGCATCATAGGTGATCAGTTAACCCTTTGCCTTGCAATATCAAGTCATATTCGTATTGTATATTAAATACACAAACTAAATGGTAGTAGAATCTTGTATGTATGTACAATGAATCAAAAAAGATTAATTAGATTGATTTTTTTATCAATTTTTCATAATTTCAAATAGAAAAACGAGCCATTTTGTCACCGCGTTCGGTATTTACACGTTCGAATCCGCTGGAAGAACTCGCGAAGGAGATCCTTTCTCCTTCAAAGTCCGCGTCGATCGACCT